TTACTATTTATTACATTTGTATCTATTCTTCTCTTGATTTTATTTATTATATCCCCTACAGAATACGGGTAAAAGATCTCTTGTCATTATCTTATGCTTCTGTTCTTGGTCATTATATTTAAATCAACCATAATCATTTGACATCTCCTATACCCTTATGTCCGATATAAACAATTTTTCCAGGGTCATCTTAACTTTGTTTAAGCGAATGACGAGCATGTGCACTGCATGATCATTTCAGCTTCCCGATGGCAGTCACGGGAATCAACTTAACAGCCCTGACGCGAAGATTGCTACAAGAACATGTACTGAAGATGCATTTTTATAATACTGTACGCGATGCGCCAACAATCGACAGTTTTCATCATGTTTTCTGTACGTGATTGATTTTGAGATAATCTTACTATGTGTGTTTGCGTGGGCGCGTGTGTGTGTATGTGTGTGTGCGCTTGTGTGTGTGCTGAAATTTGCAATTACTGCATTAAGCAAGACACTATTTTGCGGTCAAATTTGATTTAGCAGTAAGTCATACTATTGCAAGATTTAGATGGATAATTCGATAAAACTAGGGAGAGCCAGTATCCCCGTAATTCGTTTCGATGGTAAATTGGTACTGATGCAGTTCTGTGTTTCAGAATTGTTGTTACCTTATTTCCACGCGGCCTTTGGAGAAAGTGCTCTTTGATTTTTGTTCTGCTAGGTGATGGTTTTTGTTGGCTTCGTCCTCTGGCTATTTCCCTGCCCCTAGGCGAATTACAATGAAATTTGAATGGGAATTTGGCTTTTTATTCTCATATTTTAACTGTGAGCCACAAACATTTGATGGATATGGTATTTTAGGCCAAATCTTCAAGCTATTTTGTGCATTTTGGATGCAGAGGAAGCCGGATCTGGTTCGATTCAATGAAATTACAAGCGATTTCGAAGCCAAACTGATCGAGCACTTGCACTCCGAAAATGCCAATTTAGATGAATTGAGTATCAGTTCTTCCAAGTGATCAACATCTCTTGGGCGGTACGTCACAATGTCACTTGTCCAATCTCGCATAAGTGCCCAGGCTGCAATTTCCTCGGGAGTAAATAATTCTGAAATTTTTGCCCAGTCTGTAAAATTTTTATTGTAAATTTTCGAGCTAGAGCGTTTAATTTACAGAAATCGGGGAACCTAGAAGTGCCGTACCATTCAAGCTGAATAGCATTATATTCATGAATAGCATTATGTTCATGCCGGTCCTTGATAACTTTTGTTTCGGGGAAGGACAGTGCCAGGTGCTTATGTTGATCTTGTTACTATCACTCGAACTTAGTTTCAACGCGGGCATTTGTATTTTTATTTTAAAGAATTTTCGAATTTGTACGTAGTACTTGTAAAAAATTTACTATACATTTTGCATTTTATTTAAATGCACAAACTCATATTGTAGAAAAATTAGCTGCCTGTATGTATGTTCGTAGGCGAGTGAATTTTGTCACCCACTTTCAACTTAACAACCAGGAAAGCTGGGACATTGAAATTGTTGGAACATATTCCCACCCCATGTGCCATGTTCGTATTTTAAAACCAGCGCTCATGAGCTTCTAGATATCGTGTGCAGACGCCTGAAAAAATATAAATTTTAGCGGGGAAGGATTCCTTGTCTGTGCGAGTTAAAGATTTCAAATTCAGCTGTCGCGCACATTTACATCATGCCTACAGTTACGTCAAAATTCGCAGTTGGCACCGTACTAACCCAAAAACTGTCTAGGAAATAGTAGCTGTAATTTTTGCGAGAATATTTATCGCCCGTCTGGGAAGTCGTATACTTAAGTGGGGCTTTGAATTGCGCTTGTGCCGTACTTAGGGCACTCCGAAGATATTTTCAGCTATTTTGGGTTTTGAACAAGTTGCGAAGTTGGAATTTCGCAAGAGTATTCTGTAATTTATAGTCTAAATTCAGCTTGGAAGCGCATGGATATGACAAATATTCAATTTTGATACGACCTCAAAAATGAATACATCCGCGAATTTCATCTGTTGTTCTCGTTCGACATCCTTCCCGTTATCCAATTTGCATTTTCCAATGAACAGCC